GAGTGAGGTTTTAGTCCATGAAAACAGTCAAGTGGAGATGGACAGCCATCTTGAGGGGTGTTGTAGAGGAACTGGGACAATAAATGCTTAGGTGTTAATGTCCTTCTCATTATGGGTTGAATTTTCTCATGGCATTACCTCACTCAGTCATTTTGGCAATTCTCAGAGGGTCTTTGCCTGGTACTATGTGTGTTTAGGGGTAGACACAAGGTGAAGAAAAAATAACTCACTCAAATTCACACAAAAAAAGTGACCCAAACTGAAACGCTTATTAAGCCTCACTGTTAAGTTTTAAAATTATATGATTATCACTAATTTGAGAGGACCTACATGTTAACCAACTCATCACTTATTTATGATTTCAGATTTTGAAATCTGTTAGGATTATCGATTTCACTTCAGCACGATTTGGCCAAAGAAAGGAAAATACATCAGAGGCATTCAAATAACTAGAATCATAAGTAGTGCGAGAGAGCTACAGGAGGAAAGTCTGTTTAGCAGTGAGAACTTCAGACACTTCCTCTATATCCTATGGTAACCAGGCAGTTAGAATAACAGGAAGCTCTCAGGCCAGCAAAAATGGCACCTGTGAAGTTTGCCTGGGTCTATCGGAAGGCAGGATTTCAGGAGGGGCTGAGGCTGTACAGAGCAACTTACACATTTTCGTTGGATAAGAAAAATCAGTTAAAAATTAAAAATTGTGTTCATTTCCTAGTGACTACAAGGCATTACATAAAAGTCAGACAATCATTTTCTCTATTTCAAATTACTAAATTAGTTTGACGATCATAGGGACTATCAGAGGAATAGTTGTACAATTTTCCTCCAAGATCAATGCCTTCCATTTGCAGATCTTTCATTTTATCTGATACTTCTCTGCCCATTTCTTCATCCATTCCTTCAGTACTTTTTATTTTCCGTTTGTCTTTTCACTACCCGGAAAACATGACTGTCACCGAATTATGTACAACTTTCTTTATATTCTCCCAATCAGACTTAACAAACACATAGATGACATTTATTTTTGCCTGCTACTGTTTTAAGTGCTTTACAGATATGAATTCATTTACTTCTGCGAAGAACTAAGATATTTTTATTATCTTCCTTTTACAGGGTAGGGGGTTGAGGCACAGAGTGTTAGAGTAGGAAGAGACAGGATACCAATTGGCAGAGTGGCACTTTATTTCAACTCTTAACCATTGTGTTGCTTCTCTCTTTAAAGATCAGAAATTAAACCAACTTTAATGTGATCTCTGAAAAACCAATATTTGAGCTTTTTCCTCCGTGAAAATGTGCTTATCGCTATCCATTTTTCCTGAAGTCCAGCTTTCTACTTACACATTTATATTTTCATAAGCTTTTCCACAGAGTAAATTTGGTGTTGCAAACATTGCTTCCTTTTGTCCACATTTTACACATCTACTCCCTCCTTAGATAATTCAACTTTACTGTATTTTATGAAAGAAATGCTATTTATATATTTTGTGAATCCTTATTCTATTATACATTCTACTAACTAAGAATAAAACTGGTCGACTTGGTTTTTTGAGTCTAGGACAGTGATTTTCAACCCGGGGTGATTTTGCTCACCAAGGGACATCTGGCAATGTCTGATCACATTTTTGGATGTCACTACTGGGTTTGGGGTCATACTGGCATCTAGTGGGAAGAGTTTAGGGATGCTGTTAAACTAAGTACCATAAGCACAGGTCATCTTTTCACAACAGAGAACTTTCTGGCCGCAAATATTGAAGTTGAGAAACCCAGGTCTAGGATATTCTGTGCATTTAAAATATTCTGTTGAGAACAATTTAGGTATTTTATCAATAGTACTATACAAGCTATATAAAAACCATATGTATATGAAAATTATATCTATCTCTAGCTATCATTAATATATCAATCTGGACAGAAGAGCAGAAGATCAAACACCGCATGTTCTCACTCATAGGCGGGTGTTGAACAATGAGAACACATGGACACAGGGAGGGGAGCACTACACACTGAGGTCTGTTGGGGGGAAATAGGGGAGGGAAGCTGGGGGATGGGGAGTAGGGGAGAGATAGCAAGGGGAGAGATTCCAGATGTAGGTGATGGGGAGGAAGGCAGCAAATCACACTCCCACGTGTGTACCTATGCAACAACCTTGCATGTTCTTCACATGTACCCCAAAACCTAAAATGCAATAAAATAAATAAATGGAAAAATATATATATATATATGTATATATATATCAATCTGCTAGGTTAAGTAGACTCGATTTATCTGTCTGGTGTTTCATTTTTTCTTTTGGTTTGTAAAAGACTCAGACCTATAACATAGTTTTAATGCTAATACCATTCTTAAAGTAAATGGTTATAATTGCAGCTTTGTTTTTCTTTTTTCTTTCTTTTTTTTTTTTTTGGAAACGGAGTCTTGCTCTGTCGCCCAGACTGGAGTGCAGTCTTGCCATCTGCAGCCTCAATCTCCTGGGTTCAAACAATTCTCCTGCCTCAGCTTTCCAAGTAGTTGGGATTACAGGCTCCCGTCACCAATAATTGTAGATTTCCTTAGTGCTATGTTATTCAGCCACTCCATTTTTTTAAAAGAATTAAGTGTACATTCACTGTACATCAAGCAATGTTGTTAGTGAACAAGTAGTTTAGAATTACATTACAATTAAATTGCAGATTTTAGGACATTTTAGTTAATGTTTACTGAAAAGTATTATCACAGAATTTATATTTTCTATAGTTTATGTTGTTTTATATGATTATAAAAACGTTTTATTTAAGAATAATTTAGGCAGAGTATTTTACATGATGTGGAAAAAATAAGAGAGGAAAGATGGAAAATAGTTGATTGAATTATTTATTTTCACCCGATTAGTTGAAACCAGTGGTTAATAAAATCACATGCACATAGGACCCAGTGGTTGATTCAAAATAGTATTCCAGGTCGGGCGCGGTGGCTCACGCCTGTAATCCCAGCACTTTGGGAGGCTAAGGCGGGTGGATTGCCTGAGCTCAGGAGTTCGAGACCAGCCAGGGCAACATGGTGAACCTCCATCCTACTAAAATAAAAAAAAAAAAACAGACATTAGCTGGGTGTGGCGGTGTGCGCCTGTAGTCCCAGCTACTTGGGAGACTGAGGAAGAATTGCTTCAGCCTGAGTGGCGGAGGTTGCAGTGAGCTGAGATCGCACCACTGCACTCCAGCCTGGGCAACAGAGTAAGGCTCTGTCTCCAAATCAATCAAACAAACAAACAAAAAACAAAATAGTATTCCATTCTCTCCCCATGATTTTACAATGAAACTACAAGATCAAACAGGACAACTTCTTTATGTTTGCCAAAAGTGGTTATTTTTAATACCAATGACACACAGGAATAATTGCAGGACATTTGCTTAATTAAAAAAAAACAGTTGGCAAAATCTTATGTGAAAAATTAAAACAAAACAAATAACTCTTTCTCTGAAAAATACACCCCACTTGGACCTCCACATCCCTTCCCATCCATCACATTTGTCTACTCCGTTTGACAGCAGAACTCTCTGTAGGCTTCCTGCATGCTTTCTCCACGTCCTGTCACCCTGTTTTCACTTCTCTGTAGTCAAATCAGGCATTTATCCCCAAAAATCTGCTGTGACATCTTTCATCAAGGTCACCAGTGACATCGCACTGCTAAATCCAATGGTCAATTCTTGGCCTTGTCTTTAGTAACACCGATGATCACTGCCTTTTTCTTTTTCTTCTTGTTGCTGTTGTTCTTCTTCTTTTTGATACAGGGTCTCACTCTGCCGCTCTGGTTGGAGGGCAGTGGCATGGTCAGGGCTTACTGCAGCCTTGACTTCCTAGGCTAAAGCAGTTCTCCTGCCTCAGCCACCCAAGTAGCTGGGACTACAGGTGTGCATCACCATCCAGCTAATATATATATAATACATACAAAATATATATTATATATTATATAAAATACTATAAATACTATTAAATATTAAATATAAAAAATATATTTATAAAATATATATTATATACACACATATAAATATATAAACATATATAATATATTCATATGTATTATATATACACACATATGAATATATATACACATATAAAAATATATATGAAAAAATATATATATATCTTTTTTTTTTTGTCAAGACAGCATCTCACTATTTTGCCCAGGCTGGTCTCGAACTCCTGGGCTCAAGCATCCTCCTGTCTCAGCCTCCCAAAGTGCTGGGATTACAGGAGTGAGCCACCATGCCCGACCACACTGCCTTTTACTTGTAACGTTTTCTTTACTTCATAATACATGTCACAATTTTTCCTCCTACTTCAAGCAATTCTCCTTCTCGGTCTTCTTAGTTAAAGCCTCCTCGTTTTCCCAATTTTAAATTAGGCTGTCCCAGGCCTTAGTCATTGGAATCTTTCTCCTTTCTAACCACCCGGACTCTTGTATAATCTCATCCATGTTCATGGTTGCAAATACTATACATACATGGATAATTTTCAATCTTATATTCCCATTCTGAAATTCTTCCCTGAGCTCCAGACTGTCTCCTTGACACGTTCATTTGGTTGTCAGAAAGTATATCAAACTTTCCGTGCTAAAACACCAATTATTGACTCCCCAACTCCAAAACTCTTTTTCTCTCAGTTCCATTATCTGAGTAAATAGCACCAGCATTTACTGTGCTATTTATTGAGTAATGGTTCATTTTTATTTTATTTTATTTATGTATTTATTTTTTGAGACAGAGCCTCACTCTATCACCCAGGCTGGAGTTCAGTGGTGTCTCATAGCAAGCTTGCAGTCTGGATCTCCTGGGGTCATGTATTTCTCCTACCTCAGCCTCCCAGATAGCTGGGACTACAGGCACAAGCTACCACGCCCAGTGAATTTGTCTTTTATTTTTAGTAGAGATGAGGTTTCACTCTGTTACCCAGGTTGGTCTTAAACTTCTGAGCTGAAACAATCATCCTGCCTCAGCCTCCCAAAGTGCTGAGATTACAGGCACAAGCCACTGTGCCCGTCCGGTAATGCTTCTTAACAAGAAACTTGCTCCCTCTCTTATTTGAAATTTAGAGGAGGCAAATGAACAAACTTCAAAGCAAAACCAGCATGTTGAAAGAAAATCTAAACTTTGTCCTTGGAATCACTACTGAGGTTGTTGATAGTCTTTTGGGGGCACACACTTCCTTGAAACCCAAATGAAATGATGTTGGGCAAGATGCTGTTTATCCTAGGTATAGGGTCACATAGTCAGACAAGGTGTACATTTGCATAGAAATATCTTTGCTGTGACAATAACAGAGCATCTTCAGTTAAGAAGAACACACTTGGAGGATGTTGTAAAAAACCTGGAGGTATCAGTAAGAGACAATCCAGCCTTTCAGGATAAAAAGAAATGTAAGCGTAATGTGTGGCCACTTTTGTGATGTGGAAAGATTTTTATTATTGTATAAGCTTACAGAGGTTTGATCGGAAACAAAGATGGAAACGGGCATGGAAGAAGGCTATTTCTTCTTGATTCTTGTTTTCCATTCGCCACCATTGGCAAGACTATCTACTACGCGTAGGCATGGGAACCAGTTAAAGAAAGTGTCAATTCACTAGAGCGAAGCTGAGAACTCAGTGGCCTTTGTCTGTGGTGAATGTATCCGGAAAGGCAAAGAAGAGAGAGATTCTCCTGTGGGGCTTCCAATCTCCATGGCGGTAGGTGCTGACAGCTTCAGAAAAGTACTAACAGGGCAAAGAGAAAAGAGCCCTGAAGTGCCCAGCTACAGTGCTCTTACAAGATGAAAAGGGCACGGGGTTTAGATCTGAGCTTCATCGTCTTTCACTAAGGTAAGATCGTGTAGTGGATTAAAAGTGTTCCAAACCTGAACTAATTGCTTGTCTGCTCTCTTAAGCTCATTCTTTTTGCATGTATCCCTGCTAATCAGCACCTTTATAATGTTTCTTTTCGGCTCAGTAGTCATGCTTTATGGAAGCATCATGGTCTATAGCTGAGAATAAGTTTTCTTTCTCTCACATAATCTCTGGGGAATGCTGAGCCAAACTTATTAAAAATGTCAGTGCCATTTGCAGATCCATTAAGGGAAGTAACATTCAGAGACAAAGACTAAAAGGATGATGACTTAGCCAGCCGACATAACTTACTGACGTGGAACAACGTGGAAGAGGTGAATCTTTCATTTCCTGTGGAAAACAGTCATTCATAAAACTGTCTTTTTTGTGTGTCTTTGTCACTTTTCCACTGTTGCAAAGTGACAGCAAAGTAGCATCAGGAATTTGAAACTGTGTAATAACATATGTTGTTGTCAATTTGGAATTAATCACATCTTCACAACTAAAAATATAGACAGAATTGCTGTAAAGACTCTTTAGAAAAAGAAGTGCTAAAAGGTAGCTTCAATAAATAATAAGCCCCTCAAGCATTGAAATCTGACTAAGTATAAAAGCACTGGGCCTTCGAACTTTTAATGTTTTCTTCAACTCATTGCTTTCTATTTGTAACCTGGACTGTTGCTATGGAGTAAATAACACCTCCTATATTCCATGCCTTCAGTTTCCCATTTCACTAGTAGAAGTGGTACAAGTTGAAGGAAGGCAGCTAGTCTTCGTGACAATTCTAAGACAGTATCGATGCATGGCCACGGTTTTAGCCATAAATGATTTATTTATGAAATGCTTTAAGCTTTTCTTTTAAAAGTACCTCCCGTGCCTTTTAAAAAATGTCCCACTAATCTTGAAATACTCCTGAGAATTCAGATAAAGTGGGGGTAATATCCTTAGAGGTTTGACAGTCTACAGTCTGCAAGATAGAAACCAAATTGGCTACGTGTTAGCAGTATGACCTTCCCCCAAATTGCTAAGCTTCTCTCTGCCTCCTTTTCTAAAGACTTTAATAGTATCTATATCTTAGCTATTATTTAATTTCACTTGATATGGTACCTGGCACACAAGGAACACAAAGTAAATGGAGACAATTATTATTAGCTCCATTTTAGAAAGGAGGGAAACTGATAGAGAGTGATAGGTGATTAATAGCTAAGCTCCCAGTAATATACCAGTGGCGCAACTCCAAAGAATACATGTTTTGCTTTCAAGTTAAGAAAATACAAGCCAATTGCAATTTTTTAATGAGGAAGGTGGAATACAGTTGTAATATCAATGGTGCTTCTGACAATTCATACCAGCACTGACCTGCTTCTGCCATGGTTTTCTGACCTGCAATATTTAATCTTCAGCTTTCAGACATCTGAATTCCACCCTGGACCTTGCCTGTCTGGCGAGCCCAATCTCTGCAGGTCAGCCATGCAGCTGAGGTGAGGGACGGTATGTTGGGATGGGCTGGCATGAGGAGTCATGGGGGTCAAGAAGAAAGTTAGGGTCAGAGACATTGTTTTGTGTGTGCATAGTTTAATAAAGACAAACCAGTCATTTTTCATGCTAATTTTTTTAAGAGGCCACATTAGAACATCTGTTTTAAAGTGGCTTTGTCCTATTAGCTTCTTCTACCATTGTCACAGGAGCTGCCTTAAGTCAGCCAAGGTTGAAGTTCCTATTTTATTTGAGAGCTTAAGCTTCAGGCAAAAACTACTGACATTTATGAGATACCTAGTATTTTACAATTCGATCTGATTTGATTCTTATAATTGTCCCTTTTAAAAAGATGGAGATCACAGAGGTAAAGTAACTACTCTGAGTTCACGTAGGTAAATGTTGATGAGATTCAAATAGAAATTAGACTGTCTAAAAATCAAATCTAAGTGATGAAAGCAAAGGCACTATTTTGTTTGCATCACTTAGTAATGCCTCTAGAATCACAAGTCATGATAAGAACCTGATAAGACCCTAATGGCAGTCATATCATCAAAACTTGAGCTTGGGTCACCTTCAAGATGCAACACACCCAACATCACAGTGAAATTCAGGGGCACCCTGAAACACAAGAATAAGAGACAGAAACATCTATCCTTGGAGAGTTTCCTTGTGGCCATTCTGCCAAGTTGTATTTTTTTTTAATTGTTGCTCAGAAAATTCTCGATCCAGTCTGAGTGTTTTGTTATCTTTGAGCCATATGCAGAATTACAAAATGAAAATGAAAACAGATCAGCTAAAATTAAGAAGTCAATGCAATGAGCAAAGGCACAGATAATATCAAAACATGGATCAGGATGATCTGCCCTATTGGCATGACACATATGGCTCAAATTATTATTATTATTTTTTAATTAAAGACCCAAGTGTTTTGACTTTATTGAGAAGATGAAGTCTGACATTGTTTATTTTCAATCCTCTTGGAAAGACTTTCACCACTGTTCATCTCATAAAATTGGAGTGCTTTTTACCAGTTAATAAGAAAATAGCATAACATAAAACCTTTAGATATTAATGTTAAAAGAGAACTTCTGAGTTTTCTGGCTCGGCCTCCTAGCAAATTCAGGAAGCTCTTCCGTAAATTCTTCAAGTTGATTATCCAAGTTCAGAATAAATAGTTCAATCCTCAATAGATCATTTCTATAGTAAGATATTAACAATAAAAGCATTCTTCATGATACAGACAATAAATCTACATCCCTGTAAAAATCCATAAACAGATTATAGCCCTGTCCTTTGTAACATCATAGAGCAGAGCCCCTGCCTCTACTGCATGAACACAGAGTATTTGCTACTGCATTCAAGGGTGTGAATTTATTAGAGCCAGGGTCATGTTTTGATTATCTCAGCACATCTAGATCACAGTACGGGGAATATTGTTGGAGTTCAATAAAAGTTTTGAATATGTGAGTATATGTAATCTTTAGTAGTTTCTTCTCTGTTTTTTCTTTTTCCTGATTTCAGACATCCACATTCTACCTTGGGCCTTGCCCATCTGGTGAGCCCAGTCTCTGCAGATCAGTCAGACAGTTGAGGTCAGGGAAGATATGTAGGGACGGGCTGAGATAAGGGGTAATGAGGGTCAGATGAAAGTTAGGGCTAGGGACATTCTTTTGTGTGTACATAGTTTAATAAGGAAAAATCAGTCATTTTGCATTTTGATCTTTATTAATGGCCACATCAAAGTATCTGCTTTAAAGTGGCTGTGTCCCAGTGGCTTATTTTACCATTATCACTTTTGAGGGAGGTTCTTGTTCTACTCCTTCACCATTATGGTGATCTCTAGTAACAAAAGAGGTAGCAGGAATCAAACGTTACATTTCAGATGTGAAATATCTCCCAATAAACCAGCATTCACTACTCCCACTGGGAATTCTGTGTGGCTAGAAAACTATTTTTGTTGAATCTTTGCCTTGATTTTCTGGGAAAGATATATTTTTAACCCCATTCACTTTTCTCCCTCCCTTTCTCCTTGCCCATTTTTGCTAGCTCTCTGAGCTTGATATTGATGACTGTTTAGTATAATCAGTTGCCTAAATTTCCCTGCTTGTGAATTTCTCCAATCCCTAGAGCTGAGGTCATTTGATTCCACATGTAGTCCCCTCTGCTCTAGATTCTGGAATGGGTCATTCCTAGAACACCTAAGTGAGTGGCTCTAAAACTCATCTCAGGGGACTCAGCAAGCATTTATTGCAGTGAGTTCTGCTCTGAACCTGTGCTCCAGTCCTAGTGACTGGGCTTTCTATTTTTTCCTGAGTTCAGGTCCAAATAACCACCATCACTCTGATTCCATGTCCAACTATTCTTTTTATTATTAAGGCTTAAAACTTTATCAACAAAATGAGATAAATTTCTCATGTTTTTCCCACCATATATATATTATCCTGTGACCCTGAATAAATATCTCAAACTTATTTATCTTTAAAATGGGGATAATATTGATCCCTTGTTCTAAGGATAACTCAGAGAAGTAAACACATTTCATGAACATAAAATGTCTGGCACTTAGGAAGTGTTTCTCTCTGGCTGAGTATTGTTATCTGATTATCATCTCTCTGTTTGGAAGTCCTAAACCACAGCTCCATATCTGGAGCTCAGTTTCTTTTTTTTGCCATATCTATTTGATGTAGACTTCTTACCTACCCAAATGTCTACACACTGCCTATTATCCCTTTTCCTAACTTCCCCAACACTGGGTTTCCCCCTTTTTCTCTTCCCCTGTTCTTTCACTGGGTGTCTGTTAAGCTCATTAACTAAAGCCCTGCCACTCTTTACTCCCTGTTCCAGCAGCTCTACTGAATTTCCGTCCTTTCACAATGATAGCTGGATCTGTCCCAAGAGTAGAAAATGCCACACTCCAGTGGGCAATCCTAAACTCCTGGCTTTCGACCTGAGAAGTCTGGCCATTACATTGCCTTTTAATCCACATGTGTTGGATCTAATAATACTTAGTTCAAGATTCACTGTCTTTTCCCTAAATAAGTGCTCCCAGCCACTGGGATGATCCTCTTCAGCTCCCCGTCCCCATCATCTGCTAGCATGGAGCTGTGAGAGCTGTATTCCATCAGCAAGGATCTCCCAAGGCTGAAAGACCCAGAAACCTGGCTGTCTGCACCTACAATGTTCGGAGATATACTCTCTTCAAAGGGGAAGGCACTGCTTCTACTTAAACAGTTCTCTATTGTGATGATGATACATATTTTAATCTTGTAAAGTTTCTCTGGACATGAAGATGGAAATGTGCTTTTCCCCTTCCCAGTCTCAGGAATTCTTTGATCTCTAATTTGACATGATAAACAGACTCTCCATCGTCACCTGTTGTGGTGTGAATGTGTCTTCATTTCATTAATGCAGGGTTGCCAGTGACATGAATTGTTTTTTGTTTTGGGTCACTCTTCTCTACCCCTATCCTTCCCATATCTAATAATCACCATAATTATATTAGAAGGCAGATTTCTGAT